GTTCCTTCTGTGGTGAGGCACAGAGGCTACAACATCTCTTTGCTGGCATTCCTGCCAAAAATGTATCACCCCAATCCCATCAGGAGGAAACATCATAAAAACCCAAACAAAGGAACATTATACAAAATGATTGGCCTTTACTCTTCAAAAATGTCAAGGTCAGGAAAGACAAAAACAGACCTGGTGAATTGTTCCAGATTTAAAGAGACCAAAGAGACATGACGACTAAACGGGGTCCTGGATTGGACCCTGGATCCAAATTTTTGTTTTTATAAAGGAACTTATTGAACCAATTAGTTAAATATGAGCAAAATTCATAAATTAAATAATAGTATTATATTGATCTTAATTTTCTGATATTGATAATTATACTGTAGTTTTGCAAGAGAATAATGTTCTTTTCCTTAGGAAGTATACAATGTAGTATTTAAGGATAAAGGAGCATCATGTCTGCAACTTACTCTGAAATGGTTCAGGAAAAAAATTATATACATATGTGTACATATATATATACACACACATATACATATATAATAAAGCAAATGTAGTAAAATATTTAAACAGGAAATCTGAGCAGAGTGTGTTTGAGAGCTCAGTGCACTACACTTGAAACTTTTCCGTACCTTTCAAGAAATGTCAGAGTTAAGAATAACCCACAAAATGCTTGCCCACCTTGGCAAGGGGCTCCAGAGAACTGGGGCTAAAGGCGTCTGAGCTCAAAGACAGGCTGGCTGACTCTTGGCCGAGATGCTTTGGGAAGTGTGCGCATGAGAGAGCCACGTGGTGACCACAGAAGAAAAGGTTTCAGGGGCAAAAGGGAGAGCTGTCAAGAAGTCATACAAAGCATGGAAATAGGGCCAAAGGATGGCTTCCCTTTCCAGCAGAGCCCGTGTAAGGAGCTTCTGGTCCCCCAGGGGGCTGCAAAGGGGGCAGGGGGTACCCTCAATATTGACTACTGATTAGGGCCAGACTCTGAGCCGTTAGATGTTAATTTACAGAAGACTAAATTTAGAAAACTGGCACACTGAAATGAATTTTTGTCCAGGAGAAGATTATCTCCCTGAAGGCATGAATTAGCTGTGCCGGACCCAGCAATCCCATTTCAGCATCCTCCTATCCCAGTGTTGTATCCACTCTCTACTCCTTTAAACAAATCTTTGACGTGTGCTCACTCTGTATGAAAATCATACCTTTACTTTTCTAAACATTGTATTTTGACACAATAAAAGATTATTTTCTTAAGGAAAGCAGGAGAGCACACAGTGAAAGCAGCTGCTTTCACATCCATCCATGGAAAATGCCAGCAGTCAGGCCCAGGCTGCTCACCGAGCGTGTCCACACTCACTCCCTCCGAAGCCGCTCTCTCCAGCTGGAAAAAGTCATAATCAAATCTGCTCAAGTCCTCACTGCCTCGCTCTGAAGGAAACCCGATGTAGAGGTAGGTGCTTGTTGGATCCCAAAATAATTCGGTCCTAGGGAGGAGAGAGTGGGCTCAGAGGGAAGAGGCCAGAGGGGGTGAGCCAGCTCCTCTGTGTAAATCCTGAGACCCTGTTTATCCCCCAAACAGGAAAGAGACCCATAAATGAGGAGGGAAGAGGGGGCCTCTTGCTTTTTCGTGCTTTCACTGACTCCTTCCTTTATTCCACCCTCTCCACCAGGCGCTGAGAGTCGGTGGGGACCGGGCAGACCCATCTCTCCCCTCCGGGACTTGACGAACTAACGATGTAATCACAGTGATGTAATCACAGCCCAGCCCATGGGGGATGCTGGGAGGAAAAGGGCGGGTCTTCCACAGAGTGTACAGGGCCTAATTTACACTGGGGATTAGAGAAGACCTCTTGGAAGGTGCACTATTTAAGGTGACACTTCAAGTGTGTTAAGTTTCGGCGAGGCTGAGAAGGCCGCTGCCCACCGGAGCCTGGCACGTTTTGAGCATCCAAGGGGTCGTGTGACCGAGGGAAGCCCAGGCAGAGCAGTGAGGCCAGAGAGGCAGGAGATGGGCCGGCTCCCTCGGGTGTCCTAAAAGGGAGGTCATCGAAGGATTTCCGAGAAAGGGGTGGCCTGCTCCATTGTGCTTGTCTAAAAGGCTCTCTGTGGCTAAAGGTGGAAAAGGGACCGGAGAGGGGCCTGGAGCCCCTGTGCTGCTGGGACTCGGGCCGGGGTGGTGGCAGGAGACAGGGAGAGTCCGATGTTGGCAAGGGGCTGGCAGTCCCTCTCCATGGCAGGTTTTAAAAATCTTAAATGTCATACGGGGGTTAGAGCCGGAAGGATTTTGGCGATCACCTAGTTCACCCCTCTCTGCTTTATAGGCGAGGTCCAAGGAGGTGAAGTGACTTCCCCAGGACACACAGGGAGTTAATCTCAGGTCTCCTGAGCCCACAGCTGTGACCTTGTCATCACTGTGACACGTAGCAGAGGGACACGAGGGCGTTAGCTCCCAGCCCTGCCCACCTCCCTCCAGCTCTCTCGGACAAACTTAGGAAACCCTGTGGCTCCGCAGGAGAGTTTACCAAATGCTGCAGCTTCGTCTTGGTCGTGATGGGTACCCCGTTAACGATGACCTTGCATTTGCCGTGTGGAGTCACCGTCACTTTACCATCCAAATTTGTGAAGGAAGCGTGTTTCTCTGAAATTCTAAAAGGATAAGCCTGTGTCTAAGAGACCAAATAAATTACGATTTTAGTGAACAGTTTAGATCGTCCTTTCTCATTTGCACAATCAGGTAAGCCCTACAGCTGCCAAGGAAGCCCTGTGGGGCTCCTATGTGCTGGCTCAGTGGGTGGAGATGGAGAGGTGGGTGCGAGGGACCCTGCCCTCCAGCGGGGAGACAACAAAGCAATCATTTCTTAGTAGAACCCTGCCCCTCCCCCACCCCAGGACTAGAGCCCTCAGGGGATGCACAGGCTGGTAGGATTGAGAGGAGGGAAAATGGAAAGAAAGGTGTTTCAGAATAGACACTTGGGAAGGTGACTTAATAATGTGGCCACATATTGCTGAGAAGTTTAGGTCTGGTTCTTCATCTTTACCTATACAAATCCACACTTGAGATGTTACAGGATTTGGGGTCAGTATCAGAGGTGTCAGACTGGCTGCCCAACAGACGTCATCTCTGTGCCCTGAATAACCGGCTTCCTGGCTGTTCTAGAATGTTCCTGGACTCCTTGGCTCTCATGGAATATTCGGGAAGTCGAGACACACAACAACCACCCGGAGCCCTTGTTTGCCTGGGGCTCAGGGGTCCTTTGGGAAGGTTTGACCCTCAGCTCATCTGGAGTTCAGCCTTTCCAGACCTGTGTGTTAGACTAGGGTCGCCACAGGAAGTGCTCTGGAAAGGGAGATGAGGGGGTCCCCAGGAAGAATCAGAGCAAAGGGCCTGGAGGCCAGTGGTCAGGGTGAGTTAGTGCCCGCAGGTCCCCCACCTCCCCTCTCCACCCCCCTCCCAGCCGCCAACACACACACAAACACACACACACACACACACACGCGCCCCAGGCGGGCTCAGGAGGGCTGAGGTATGTCGAGGGGACTGGTCAGTAAGGTCCCTCTTTGTAGGGGCTGATTGAGTCTACTGGCTGGAAATTTGTGGGCAGTCAGGACACAGTGGTCCTGGAAGAGAGAAAGAATCCCTGGAGCAGCAGCCTCCCCAGGAGAGAGGCCATGGAGGTAGGGCCCCACTGTGAGTTTACGAACCCACCTTGGGGTTCCACAGGGGCTCCTACAAGGATCCTGAGGGGTCCTCAGGGAGGGGATCAGCTCAAAGTCTGAGCTGGTGAGGGCTCTGAGCACAGTGATCTAAGGATGCTTTGCTCTTGGTGGTAGGACCACAAGACGCATAGGCCACCCATAGGGGGCCTGTCCTCCTAACTCTCTTCACTTCCTGCCCCATCTACTCATGTCCATTTGTGGAGAATTATTCCCTTTCTCCCAAGCTCAGAGCCAAGGAAACAAAATGAGCGCAGCACAAGGGATTTCAGTGACAGAAGAAAATCCTCTGAAGGTGATCTTCCATAAGCATTAGAGTGGGTCCCGAGGAAGGTCTGGTCATATCTTGTCCTTGGTTGTCCCGCAGGGCCTGTGGCCTGGCCTGAGGACGACTAGATGAATTCTGAGAGTCTCCTCTGGATGCAGTGGTCGCAATTCTCTAATGCTGGACAGAGGTGCTGGGTCACAACTTACCCCAAACCTTGAAGAGTGATGGCATTTGAAGCTGCCTGACCAGCATCACACGATCCTGAAAAGAATTAAGGTAAGTTGTTTTCAAATTTTTTCAGGATTTGACATTAGTAAGTTAACATGTTTGATATTTGGGAAGTGCCATTTCCTTTCCAATTAGATCATGTGAAGGGAGCTGTTCACTGCAATTTTCAATCATGATGGTACATGGACATCACCTTGCCTTGGGGATAACTGTTCTACTTTCTACCTTTTTTGTGATGTTCCTAACTTTTTGTTTGTTTGTTTAGGAAAATATTTTTTTATTTAAGAATGTGTCATTTATGTTAACATTTAATGGATTTATTATTGTTATTTTAAATGAATTTTTATTGGAGTGTAGTTGATTTACAATGTTGTGTTAGTTTCAGGTGTACAGCAAAGCGAATCAGTGATACATATAAGTATATCCACTCTTTTTTAGATTCTTTTCCCATATAGGTCATTACAGAGTGTTGCGTACAGTTCCCTGTGCTATACAGCAGGTTCTTATTAGTTATCTATTTTATATATAGTAGTGAGTATATGTCAACCCCAATGTCTCAATTTCCTAACGTTTTAAAATTTCTACCTTCTTCATGGGAATTCTGGAGGAAGAAACGGTTGCATCTGGGCCTGGCCACAGGGAAGGCCCTGGTCTGTGAAGCTCTGTTTCTGTCCAGTGACTGAGCCCAAGGACAGTGCTGGGAGCATCACACCAGCCTCCTGGGGCTGCCCCCTCATTCAGCTCCCACTGCCATCCTGCATGAGCCTCTCCTGTCCTGAGTGTGCACAGGGCTAGGGTGGGAAGGCCAGATGGGACTAAATACTGGTGCCATTTTCCAGCGGATGAATGGATCAACAAAATGTGGTACAAACATACAATAGAATATTGTTCAGCCTTAAAAAGGGAGGAAATCCTGACACAGGCTTCAACATGGATGAGCCTGGAAGACATTATGCTAAGTGAAGTAAGCCAGACACAAAAGGACAAATACTGTAAGACTGCACTTATACAAAGTACCTGGAATAGTTAAATTCATAGAGACAGGAAGTAGAATGGTGGTTGCCAGGGGCTGGGGGAGGGGCTAATGAGGAATTATTGCATAAAGGGGACAGAGTTTCAGTTTGGGAAGACAGAATCAATCTGGAGATGAGTGCAGGTGAGGGCTGCACAACAACGTAAAGGCACTTAATGCCAATGAACTGTATGCTCAAAGACGGTTAACATGGGGAATTTTCTGTTATGTGTATTTTTTTTTTTTTTTTTTTTTTTTTTTTTGTTTGCGAGGCCTTTCGGGCCCAGCTGCTCTGTGGCACGTGGGATCTTCCCGGCCCGGGGCACAAACCCATGTCCCCTGCATCGGCAGGCGGACTCTCAACCACTGCGCCACCAGGGAAGCCCTGTTATGTGTATTTTACCACAAAAATAAATCAAAAAGAAAAAAGGGGCAGGAAGCATGAGTAGGACCAGGGCAGGTCTAGTGGAGTGAGTACCAGCTTCACTGAAGTGCTTGAGAACCCCCGTGAGCTGCGGGTCTTCATTGACGTTGAGAAGGTGCGGGAAGGTCTTCATCATCTGCTGCTCCTGGAGGAGAAACAGAGAGAGGGCTTCCTCGCCAGACAGGGCAGCACAGCACAGACGGCAATGTTCCTTCCTATCCACTGCTCCTCGGAGCTGTTTGTCTGTGCATCCCGTCAACTCACTCCGTAAAGCAAACCCAGAGGAGGAAAGTATGACCAGGGGCTTCGCTGACAGAGCGGGTGCGATCCCGGCAGGGATCAGCGGTCGGGGGCCTGCATTCATCCCGTCAGGACTGTTGCAAAGCACAGCCAGTTTCCGACTCTGTTCACCATTCCCAGCTGCTCTCTCACGGTTCCCTGCACTTTGGTTTCTACCCCTCTGCCATTTCTTCAGGCCCCCGGCATCCCCAGCTGTCAGGAGGCCCCATTCTGGTGCTCCGCCTGGGTAGTTCTTCCCAGGTTCCACTAAACCAACTGCCCTACATCTCATTCCCCCAAGTCCTTTGGCGAGCTCATCACCCATCAGGTGTTGATACCAAAATGGGGCCTATTGCATCGCCCTCTCTTGGTTACCAAAATGCACTTCATTTTTTAATGCAGGTGTTGATTGGTATTGCGGTTATAGAGGTTTGATAGTCAAGCAGAACTGGAATAAGCTATGCAGGCACAAGGAAAGCTTTTAAATCCTGAAGTGCTCATAAAGAGCAAAGAAGATGAGAGTCCTTCTGGTTCTAACTGTCCATACAGAACACAGTCCTAGGTTCTTCACTCTGGATCCTACTTGACCCCTGCAGCCAAGAGTCACAAACCCAGGTACCCCTTACACAGGATGTTACTTTCTTGGACCTTCTGGCTGCTGGGTGCAGCCATATTACATCTACACCTCTAGAGTTCTTGGACCCTAACTTAACCTGACCCCCTGCTGCCACAGACCTCCACCCGACTCCACTCCTTCCGCCTGGAGCTCACATCTATTCTGGCGTCATGAGCCCTTTGGAATCTGGACTGGACCCATCCCACCACTTCTAAAGTCCTCCAGGGCTGGCCCATGACTTTGGAGTTTGTCCAGAGCCTCGTGGCTTTGGGGAGGAAGGTCATGGGAGGCAGAGAGGGCATCTCCCTGGCCCAGGTACAAAGTTCATACCCCAGCCCATTTATGATCTGGAATTGGCAGTGAATGCCAGATACGTGGTTCAGGGTCACAACTCATAGACCCCAGAAGACAATCATATTCCTCAGATCCTTCCCAAATTCTAATTATCCACAGCATTGGATTCTATCCTCAGCCTCATGGTCTCTTTGCTTCCTTCCCTTTCATGCCCTGTCATTCTCTCCCCAACTCTGCCAATAATTTAATTAAGTCATACGTCACATATAACATGTCACATTCACATATTATACATAATACACCTCACCCCGATTATCCACCTGAACCCAGGCACATGTCACATTCACATATTATACATAATACACCTCACCCCGATTATCCACCTGGCATCAACCCAGGCATTGGCGCTTGTCTGGGTAAGGGGCAAGGCCACCCCCCACCACCCGCCCTCCCCCCACCCCTCCCGCCGCCAGGTTGTCAGCCTCGGCAGGTGGAGGTGGTGAGCTCACCTGGGCAATGGCCACGTAATGCTGCTGCCATTCGCTCCGGACCTGCTCCAGCTGGTGCACCCAGCTCAGCTGATCAGTGGGAGACCTGAGCCAACAGGCTGGCAGCTCTGGAAGGAGGGAGATACTTTAAGCAACTTAAGGCCAGTTTAAGGTCTGCAGTGTCAAAGGTGAGGCACAGAATGTCTCAGTCAAAACATGGCACTCACAGCAGGAGTGGGAAATAGAACTGCACTGACTGCACTTGGCAAGTTCTATAAAGACTAGGATATTCATAGCAGCACTATTCACAATAGTCAAGATGTGGAAGCAACCTAAGTGTCCATCTGCAGATGAATGGGTAAAGAAGATGTGGTACATATGTACAACGGAAGGTTAGCCAAAAAAAAAAAAATGAAATCATGCCATTTGCAGCAACATGGATGGACCTAGAGATTATCATACAAAGTGAAGTAATCAGAGAAAGAGAAATACCATACAGTATCACTTATATGTGGAATCTAAAAAAATAGCACAAATGAGCTTAGTTACAAAACAGAAACAGACTCACAGAAATAGAAAACAAACTTATGGTTACCAAAGGGGATAGCTGGGAGGTGGGAGGGGGATAAACTAGGAGTTTGGGATGAACATATACCCACTACTATATAAAATAGATAAACAACAGGGACCTACTGCACAGCACAGGGAACTAAACTCAATGTCTTGTAATAACCTATATGGGAAAAGAATCTGAAAAATAATATATATACGTATGTGTAGGTGTATAATTGAATCACTTTGCTGTGTATTTGAAACTAACACAGGGCTGCCCTGGTGGCACAGTGGTTAAGAATCCACCTGCCAATGCAGGGGACACGGGTTCGAGCCCTAGTCCGGGAAGATCCCACATGCTGCAGAGCAACTAAGTCTGTGCACCACACCTACTGAGCCTGTGCTCTAGAGCCCGTGCTCCGCAACAAGAGAAGCCACTGCAATGAGAAGCCCGTGCACCGCAACAAAGAGTAGCCCCCGCTCACAACAACTAGAGAAAGCCTGCACGCAGCAACAAAGATCCAACGCGGCCAAAAATAAATAAATTAATTAACCAAAAAAAAAGAAACTAACACAACATGGTAAATGAACTATACTTCAATAATTAAAAGAAAAAAAGAGACTAGGATCACCTCTTAATTCATAGGAAACTAGAGCAAGGAAGTCCTTTGTAGGAGGAGCACTGAAGCTCAACAATCTGTTTTTTTAATCATGTGGGCATGTGAGAGCATTTCAGGGTATTCCTGTAAAGTCAGGGGATTCAGGAAGAATCAAAGATTTATCTTACCTTGTTTTTCATGTGTTCCGTGTCTGTGCTTATGAATAATGGGAATGAGATGCTATATTTAGGTCAACATCCACATGTCCGGATTTTAGAGGTACGGAGATTTGTGACAGAGCAGAGTCATGCCTGGACCAGATGTGGGCACAGTCTCTAATTTAGGAAGTGCTTTGTTGAGTCTGAAGCCTTAGTGAGTCAGGACGTGGGAACTCAGAGATATGCCAGATGGGGCCAACCTGTCCTCGAACAGAACATCCATGGGGGCAGCCAGGTGTGTGCATGCGGGAGCGGGCTGTGGTTGGGAAGTGTTGCCACCGCCAGACAGAGAGCCCGTGTGGCACGAGGGAGCCCGGCAGGGTGAGGGGAACGGCCACCCAGGGCCGGACGATGACAGTGGGGGCACTCTCCACTAAGAGCACTGAGCGCAGGGCTTTCAGACCTTCTGATCTGGCTGTTTCGATGCTGAGCGCTTTCACCAATTCTACTTCAGCAGTCTTATATTTTGCCCTTTCCATCCACACCATTCTAAATTGTTCATGGGCAAAAAATTACACACGCCTCATGCTGCCATGCTGAAATCTCAGGCCTTCACTCAAAGCAGTGGTCCTCAATAACCGCACAGTGGGCCACCTTAAGGTGGGCACTTTAAGAACCACTGCTGCCCCCGGGATAGATTAATTGGTCCAGATGGCGCACAGTCACCAGGTGACTCTAACGTGCAGCTAGGGCTGAGCAGAGTCTTAGAAGAGGGTGCTGGGGCTAGTGCTTCTTAGCTCCAAACATCACTTAACTGCATGAGGCCATCAGCCGAATAAACGCCCTACGGCCACCGTCCAAATCTGGTAAGGAAAAAGTAGTCCCGGTGGAAAGAAAAACCTCAAAATAAAAATGGCAATTAAAAAAATAAATGAGACTAAAATGACCATTTAAAAAGCACAAGGCCAAGACTTCCCTGGTGGCGCAGTGGTTGAGAGTCCGCCTGCCGATGCAGGGGACACGGATTCGGGCCCCGTTCGGGAAAGATCCCACGGGCCGCGGAGCGGCGGGGCCCGTGAGCCGTGGCCGCTGAGCCTGCGCGTCCGGAGCCTGTGCTCCGCAACGGGAGAGGCCACAACAGTGAGAGGCCCGCGTAACGCAAAAAAAAAAAAAAAGTGGTAGCAACAGATTTACATCTGATAAGCAGAGAGAAAATGACCATTCTAAATATTACTAAAGACAAAATTCAAGATCTGAGTGGTACAGATGCTGGAAGAAAATGTCTACTGGAGTCAGATGATATTGAGACCACGCAGCGCAGAATGAGAATGCAAGTGTTTGTGACTAAAATGCAAGGGCCCCTCCCTGAGAAGACGCCAAAGGAAGACCAGAAGGACAGGCGATTACTTGGGGACATCATAGCAACTACCACTTTTGAGCTTCAGCCCCATGCCAAGCAGAACTTAGCCAGAAACGGTTCATGAAGAATCTCAGGTGGTCTTCACCCCACCCAGAGAGTGAGGTATCACCTCCTTCAGCATGTGAGGTCACCGAGGGCCAGCGAGGCTCAGGTCCCGTGGCAGGCGGGGCCAGATTCTGACACACAGGCCCGTACCTATTAGAATAGGAACCAAGTCCATTTCACATGCCAGCTGCAGCTGCCTGGAACACAGGCTGAGAATTCCAAGCTCCTGAATGGAGCTCATGGGAACACTGCAGAGGTGGATTCTCAAATCTGCCACATGAATACGATGCAGGGGTGGTGGCGGCACGCGGTTCCTACCCCTGGTTAGAGGCTACCTCTCCCCAGACCCTCACCTGCCTGGACAGGTCAGGAGGAGTAGGTTCCTACGTGCCTTGAAAAGCAGGAACTCGGCTTTTCCACAGTGTCCAGCAGGGGCTAATCTAGTGGGCTTGTCTCCCCGGCCAGTCCGAAGGGAGGGAACCAGCCCTGAGAGCCCCGCTCTACCCGCACAGGGAGGAGACGCCTGTGACCTGCTGTGTGGGACCTGGAGAAATGAGAAGCAGCTCAGGGAAAGCTGCAGAGCCGGGGGCTGGTTCCCGACTTTGGGAGTGCCTCTGATGTGCTCATCTTTATTATTAGCACAAAAATTCCCTGCCTGTCACTATGCTCTACGTGTGTCCCAGACGACAGAAGGGGAATCTATGAATGGTCATGCTATGTGGCAGGAAAATGCAGGGGGACAGATAAATGACCCCATCAGGATTGGGATCAGTGCTTCCTCCCATGGGTTTGAGCCCACGGCTCCTCCCCCATCCAGGGCTGGAGTGACAGAATGACAGGCTCAGGAGGGTCCTGAGCCCCCAGTTCGACCTCCTTTTATTTGTTTTATTTTCTCTCACTCTTCTCTCACAAATCCTTTTGTTCTTCCTTCTTCTGGACCCCTTCCCAAGAGGCCAACCCATCAAGTATAAGGGTACTAGAAGAATTTGCCAGGTTTAGAACCTAGAACCACTGTGGATAATAAGTATTCGTAAACGTACCTTTTAGCATATCTTAATGTTGATAAAGTTTCCTCGTAGCAGATGTCAGCCAGACTTATGGCTGCTATCTGTAAAAAATAACCTTTTCAGATTTTGTTTTTCATATAAGGTTTTAGAGCTATTGTTGTTGATATTACACAGCTAACAGTCATGGAACATCTTGTAATTTGTGGTACTATTCAAACTTTACAACTCAGACAGAAAACTCAGGCTTAGAGAAGAATAATGTGCCAAGGTCACTCAGATAATAACTGGCAGAGCTGGGACCTGGACCAGCCCTGACTTGACACCTGTGCAGCTAACCTCTGTACTACGTGTCCCACAGCACTGAGTCCCCAGCAGATTTCCTCGGGGATTTAAATGACCGTTGAACCCTGGCACTGCAGAGACCAATCAATAAATCATTACTGAGTAGCCACTTGTATGGTTTCAAGTCTGGCTATTGACTTTGGCTTAATTGTTCTAGAATTCAAATGAGAAAACAAACTTTTTGATGAGCTGGAGGTGGGCAGGGTCACTGAGGGTGAACAGGGGGAGTGTGATTGCCCAGGTGACAACTTGTAACTTATGGTCCTGGAGGTCAAGATTCAGAGCATAAGGGTCTGGTGAATAGTCCTTTATGTTTGTCCAGCTTTGCAGCTTTTAAAGCTTGTTCATTATATGATCTCATTTAATCACCACAGCAGTATTTCCAAGGCAAGACTGTTATCTTCACTTTAGGAAGGAGGAAAAGGAGGTCTCATGGTAAGTATGCTGAAAGTGGGATTGGAGCCATGGAGACTCAAGAGCTTGGAAGTTTAACGTTCAGAGGAGTCTTATGGGCCTTCTTTTAGTCCAGGCTCTTGGGGGATGGCCCAGGGAGGCCCATAGGTACTGACAACCAGAAGAACGTTAACCAAAACGTTTGAAAAGAGTTAGCCAAGAATAAATGATAAAGACAGATCCAGCAGCAGGCGTTTCTCTCCTAATCAGGACAACAGACTGGAGGCCAGTACGAGGCTGGAAGCAGAGCTTGCCCAGTTCTGTTCCTTCCCTAATCTGAAGCTTGAGAGCGGAGCGCCCTGACTTAACACACTGCACACGGTACCACTTGGCAAACTTTCAATAATAGAGTCTGGATTCTTTTGCTGAGATGACACGATTTGGCTACTCTCCAGGTTAAACACCTGCCCTGTGTCTAAAACAGTCAAAAACTGATTTCCAGTCTTGCCATGGAATGACTGCTGATTTATAATAACATGACATTGTTAGTGTTAGTTTTAAAACTGTATTAGTTTCTTCCTGATAATAAAAGTAATATATATTTCTGTAGAGAACCAGAAGAGAGTAAATTAAAAAATCAAAATTAGCAATATAGAAACTTTATTTGAACATCGCCATGGAAGGAGCTCCAGGAGTCACGAGATCATAGATCAGAACGTGCTATATCAATGCAGAGTGCTGTGTTTAGTGGTCCACAGAGAATAACTTTAGTAATAATAATAACAACAGGAATAATGACAGCTACATGAGTCTAAACAGTCTATAATGTGGTAAGAAAATCACTTTACCAAAGTAGTTCTGCTGTTCCCACCCAGAGCTGACTGGAGCAGTTTGGTCAGAACAGAGTCTCTGTAGGGAATGTGCAAGACTTTCTTCCCCATGGCTGCATCAGCCAGAGCACTGAATCAAAAGAAAATATAAAACAACAAAATTTTTTACATGTATTAAGAAGAAATCTGCTTCCCTGTGGATAAGTCAGAAACACTCCTCAAATCCCCTGTCGACCCCATATACCAGAGACATGACTCTAAGGAATATCCAATAGTTGAGACACCTTCTGTACAAAGATGCTGAAGTTAAGACAGCAGCACAGGCTGCTGGTTCTATCTCCAAGGTCAGCACCGGGGAAACCATAACAGAGAGGGAAGCCCAGATCTGAGGCACTAACACACTAAACCTTTGGAGGAAAACCCAGAGCCTGCAGGCTATTGTAAATTTATGTATAGGGAAGGGTTGTGATCTGAGGAAGAGGGTGGCAGGCTAGCAGAGTGAAGATAGGAATGGGGAGTGGGTTTAAGTCCTTTTCTTGCCTTTCTCTCATACTGCCTTAGGAAGATCCCATAGCGTTAGGACCCCATAAGACTACAGCATCAGAGTAACAGTGAATAAGAGAAGTAACAGTGAATAAGAGAAATAACAGCTCAGTTCCTGCCCTGCTCGGGGCACTATAGAGAAAGTAGTGTTGTCACTGAAGAGAGTGGGGAAGAGGAGGGAGGAAATCCCATCTCTGTGAAACTATAATCACAAACAGAAAAAGAAATCTAAAAAATTAATCCATCAGATTTAGAAAAGAAACAAAATGAACATCTAGAAAGGAATAGATACAATAATTGAAATGTAAAACACCATGGATAGGTTCAACAGCAAATTAGACATTGCCATAATGGGAATTAGTGAACCAGATAGTTCAGAGGAAATCCAGATTGCAATCTGGAGACATAGAGAAGGAAAACAAGAAAGAAAGGTTAGGAGACATGGAAAACAGGGTGAGAAGATTCAAATAGTTTAATTGAAGTTTCAGGAGAGAAAAAGAGAAGAAAAAATGGGTAGAAGCAATATGTGAGAGATAATGGCTGAGAATTTTCTAGTATTGATGAAAATCACTATCACAGAGCTATGGAGGCTAAGGAATTCCAAGGAGGATAAAGACAAACTGACACTCAAATGCAACATAATGAAATTGGGGAACATCAAAAAAGAAGAGCTTAAAAGCAGGTAGGGAAAAAGATTATCTTCAAGGGAATAGCGATTAGACCAAGAATAGAAACCAGGAGAATGGTATCCTTAATGAGCTGAAAGAAAATACTGTCCATCCAGAATTATATACTCAGCAAAATTATCTTTCAAAAATAAGGTAAAATAAAGAAATTTCAACCAAACAAAAAATGAGTTTGCCATTAGCAGATGATCACTATAAGAAATTCTAAAGAACATACTTCAACCAGAAGGAAATTGATCTTACAGAGCAGCTCTGATGTTTAAGAAGGAATGAATAAAAATAATAAAAAAGGAGTAAATGTGAATGAACACTAACTGTATAAGATAGTAATGATAATGTCTTTTGGGGTTAAAGAAGAATAGAATTAAAATATATATCAAAAATAGCATATGTAGGATGGAGATACTAATATTATCCAGGAATAGGATAAAGTGTTTATTATATTTAGATGTTGACAAACAGATTAAAGAGCCAAGGAACAATAAGCGTATATTGAATTTTGACATATAGCAGAAATAGCATAGAAGATCATTGGGGAAAGGAGAGACTATTTAGCAAATGATCTGAAAAAATTGGTAATCGATAAGGAAAAAATAACAAAAAGGATGCCCACCTTACACTACTACACACCAACTCCAGATGGATAGGAACTTAAGTATAAATTTTCTTAAACAAGACAAAGAAAATGCAAAAATGCAAAACATAAACAATAACTTCTGCTCATCAATAGACACCTTTAAAAAAGTGAAAAGTCAAGCTACTAACTGGGAGAAGATATTTACAATACATATACCTGAGAAAAGAGTAATAAAAATAGTAAAAAATGTCTGCAGATCGATCAAAAAGACAATAACTCAATAGAATAATCAGAAAAACATAGACCAGGTATTTTGAGAGGAAACATGTTGCTAATAAGCAAATCAAATGACGCTCAAGCTTGTTAGTAACCAATGCTATCAAGACCATAGTTAAAATATGTTTATACCCACTTAATTGGTAAATATCAAGAAAGTTGACAATACCAAGCCTTAGAAAAGTTGTGGATCAATGGGATATGTTATACATTGCTCCTGGGAATATAAATTGGCCCAACCACTTTGGAGAACAATTTGTCACCATCTCGAAAAATAAGGTATTCACACACCTTATATATAAAACCAAAAAATTTCAACTCTTTGTCTATACCAAAAAAACTTTGAAATATTGATACCCAATGATTTGTACAAGAATGTTCATAGTAGTACTGTTTGTAATAGCAAAAAACAAACAAAAACTTGGAAACAACCAAAATGCCAATTAACATGAGAATGAAGGAATAAATTGTGGCATATTCCCACAATGAAATACTACACAATAATGAAAAAGAAGTAACAACTGCCACTGTAACAACATGGATAAATCTCATAGACAGAACATTTAGAAAAAGAACAGAAAATAAATTAACCAGAGCCACACATAACATGGATAGATATTGTTAATAATGTTGAATCTAAAAGCAAACTCTACTCCTGGGTATGTACTTAAGAGGAATGAGTAATTATTTTCCCCTAAGTACATGTACAAGAACTTTGATAGCAACCTTATTCATAATAGTCAAAACCTGGAAACAAACTAAATGCCCATACAAGAGGAGAATGGATAAATAGTGGTATATTCCTACAATGGAATACTGCATAGCAATGAAAAACAATTAATAATTGCTAAATGAAACAGCATGGATTAGTCTCATAAATACAATCCTTAGTGAATGAAGCCAGATGTAAAAGACAATGACCTGGGCTCCCCTGGTGGCTCTGTGGTTAAGAATCCGCCTACCAATGCAGAGGACACAGGTTCGAGCCCTGGTCCAGGAAGATCCCACATGACGCAGAGCAACTAAGCCCGTGCGCCACAACTACTGAGCCTGCACTCTAGAGCCTGCGAGCCACAACTACTGAGCCCATGTGCCACAACCACTGAAGACTGCGTGCCTAGAGCCTGTGCTCCACAAGAGAAACCATTGCAATGAGAAGCCCACGCACCGCAACAAAGAGTAGCCCCTGCTTGCCGAAACTAGAGAGAGCCCCCCACGTGCAGCAACGAAGACCCAACGCAGCCAAAAATAAATTAAATAAATAAACAAATAAATAAATAAAAGACAATGACCTGATATACATGATCTCATTTTTATGAAAATCAATACAGTTAGGCAAAACTAATCTTTGATAACAAAGGTCAATTCCTTTTGTTAGGATTAAAAATTAGGAGGAGGTATGAGGGAGTTTTCTGAGTTTTGGAAATGTACTATATCTCAATCTAGGTGGTAATTACATATATATATACATATATAAAAATCCATTGAGCTGAACATTTAAGATTTCTGCACTTTACTATATGTAATTTATACCTAAGTAACCTTAACAGTGCAAGATCCAGAAAGCAATATAATATTTTACCCTTTTATAAAATTCAAAAATCAGTGCTACTAATAAATAATAATGTGCACAAGCGATAAAACAAAGAAAGAGGGAAGGAAGTAGGGAGGGAGGGAGATTAAACATAAAATTCAATATGGTGGTTACCTCCAAGGGGAGAATAGGAGAGGAATACCACCTGTTTCTTGGGTTGGGTGGTGGTTTTATTAGTGTTTGTTATTTCATTTAAAAGCAATTAAGTAGTTTAAAACAAAATCTACAGGAGGGCCAGGAATGAACCAATGATGATAGTGGGTCATGAACCAAGGGTCATGATTAATCTAAATTTTGATATTTGAGTTTATTTTTATGGCACAAATAAGTACCTATCCACTGATTATTTACCTGATAACATTTCCTAAATTGGTTAAAGTTAAGTTAACTCGTGATCCTTCCCTCAGTCTGTCACCTTCAGATCCTGAAGATTTCTGCCTTTCACTTCCAGCTAAATCCACCAAATTAATACTGGATTGTTTGCTTAGGTCTCTGTCCTGAAAAACCTGTAGGAAAGCAACACAGGTCATGCTATTAGAGTGGTAGCAGACTACACAAGAAGGCAATCTATTTTACATTCTAGAATATTTTTTCTAATTGTATTTCACACTCAAAAAAGCTGTAATAAAATTTGCAAGTTAAAATGCCATCCTCTTTATAATGACATTTTACAATAACATTACTAGGTTCAAATGTCTCAGTTGCCCCTTCCCAATTCTGCAAAGCTACTTCCAATGATATATTAGTATTTCTGTGATCAATAAGTATTTTAAATCTACTGTGAAATCTGCAAAGTAAGTAACTGTTCAGGATGGTGTAGTCATGTAATGGAAAGAAGGCTACAGGTTCCCTTTCTGTCGTGTAACTGTGAACAAATGATTTAACTTTTCAGAGTTTCAGCTTCCTCAGTTGTAAAATAGGGATGATAGCATGTTTGGGGGATGTTATGAGGGTAAAAGATAATAGATGTAATGGTTCTAACCATGCCTGGCATACGTTAATAGGTGTTAATGTTGTTACTGACACCAGTAAACGGAGTAAAATCATTCTTTTCCAGTTAATTTTGTCTCTTGCCTCTAAAATATGAAGTTTAGAAAATAGTAGGGAAAACCATATTTTAAGTTTATGAATTTCAGTAATATTGTAAAATTAAGTGAATAATATTTAAAAGTTTACAAGGTTCTTTAAAATGCAGAATGCTATTTAAACTTCTCAACATTCCTATGAGGATAACTATTCATCTCATTTTTACAGAACAAGAAACTGAGACTTAGGAAAGGTTAGTTACTTCCCAAAGTTTCAGAGCTGGTAAACACAGTCATACATGGTCTAGTGTTTTTCCACTATTCCTGGTTAGAGCAGGACAATCTTTATTTATTACTGTTTTATCTATTACTAGTGCTGTGGCTTAGGGGATGGAGGTGGTAAAATTGTAGCTAAGTGTTTAACCAGCCTTTGTGAATAACCATGTCTGAATCAAATTGTCCATAATTGCAGAGATTACTCGGTGATATCCACCAAGGAATGGAGGAGAAAAGTGTGCTCTAGTTTATCAAAGATTCTAGTTAGTGGGGCGTTACATGGATCACCTGATTTCAAAGACTTTATCTTTGTGATTCCAAATATCAGAAAGACACTTCAGTATCTGGTGGTCCCCTAGGCTCATGGATCTGAAAGTTGGGCATTATTATATTGGTGATGCATACAAAGCCTACTAGTAGAATTCTCCATGACAAACCACGGACCGACTCTCATATCTCCACAGTTTGATCAACTTGGGGGTCAAAACCTGTTTCCCAGAGCATTGAATTTACTTGAGGGAAAGCAGTCTTTAGTCTCAGGGGCATTTCTGGGATCTGGTAGGTCTTACTGCCACCCCTCTGTTAGTAACGGGCTCACTTAGGCCGGGGTTGGGGGGCATGGATGTCGGGGGAGGGAGGCAAGAAGTCAAGTGCCTCACTTTCGCCTGCTTCTGACCCTATAGTCTATGTTTGGAAAGAGTCACCTTAATCTATAGATCAAATCTAAAAAGATTCCATAATACTCACCAGCCCATAATGCTACTGGGAACCTTTCCCTGGACCCCCTTGGTGGGAGGTGGGGACAATGGCATCTACGTGAATCTCACCTGCTTGAACTGAATGGTGATTACCATGTGAGACCGGCTGCTGCTGGCATTCATGTTGGTCGAAGCTGTGGTCCTTATTTTTGTTCCTTGTTCCATCAGTCTTTCAATCTGGGCATAGTTCTCACAAGGCACTGACTTTAGACCATCGACATAAAAGCCCAGCTGTTGGTCTTCCCTTACTTTTAGCCCTCCAGGTTTCTTGGTTTTGGACAGCAAATCTCTTACCTGTGGAAAAAAGAATAAATAATGCAAAATTCAGGAAGGCAAGGATTTTTGTTTATTTCACTGTTACAGCCCTTTCTAGAAAATATTAAGTGCTCAGTAAATATGTATTGGATGAATGAATAAATGTTAAAGTTCTATAGGTACCAGACCACCTCATAATTTAAATAAGTAAGGAACAGAGAAATGACAAGCAAGAAAATATGGAAACCTGTTGTAATTAGTGAAATCAGAAGCATATTTTTTTTTTTTTTAGAAATTCAGTTTTATTATGTTCAAGTACCTAGAGCACTTCAACCAGACTGCGAGGTCCCTGAGGGCAGGGCATATTTCTTTACTAGGACAGTAAATCCTAACATGGTTCCTGACATGTGGTAGGAACTCAGTGAATGCTTGTGGAGAAGATAGTGTAACTGAAGCTAAGCTAACAAGTAATGTTTAATACACTGAATATGGAGTATTGGCGGAACTGCTTTTGTAGCATGAAAAAACATTTTAGTCAGTATCTACAGTTGTCTGACTTTACATAGGTGATTCTAAAGCTTTTGTGCTTGAAAACATGGTTCTCGGATTATCCTAAATATTCTCCTAGCAATCTTGTTAACTCTTGTAGTTGACTCGCAACTCCTTTGTGAATAATATAAAAATAAATGATCCCAGCCTTTTTCTGAATTATCACAAATTTTGTATGACAAAGTAATGAAGTCTTACTTTCCTGAGAACAGTGATAAATGAAACTTAAAACACTTAAAAGTTAGTAACATTCAAAGTACCTAATGCTCTGCCTAGGTTAAATCATGCTGCAACAAATGCCACCACTGTGAATATCTACTTCCAAGGGAAACTTATTTAACCCAAACAGTATTTGCTACAGCCAAACCTAACAAGAGACTGTGGGTAATTCTTTGGATTTTCTTATTATTATTAGAGATTTGTGTGATGTCACACTTAGACCATGGCCTCAGGTGAAAGTCCATGTTGCCTCTCCCCCAAAAAAGCCACTTCTGCCAAGGCACAGTAGGTCGAGCTATGGGAGCCTGGTAGAGCCAGAGCCCCTACAGCTGGTAGTTGGTGTTATACGATGCAGGGAGATCTGGGCTGGAAATCTGACCTGGGCTCTTAGTTCTGGTTCTGCCTCCAAAGTGTGAGAGCTTTGGAAAGTCTCTTACATCCCCAGTTTTCTCCTCATAAGAGAAGAGCGATGGATAAAATGGTCTCTAAGATCTCCCCAAGTATTCTGTAGCTTTAAGTCCTAGAGTCAAAGCAAGATCACAGATTGAATTCAGGAAAGCAAATTAGGACAGTGGACAGTAAGGTCAGAGATAAGAAGACATCAGAACGGAGGCAACTCTGTCTTAGATAGGAAGCCTTTTCTATAACTTCCACTGAGTGATTATAAATTGTAGGAAGCGGCATCTAAGGCTGAAGATGTGTCTGAAGAAGGCTTATTAGAAAAAAGGTAAGTAGGTTTATCTAAATGGAATATGGAAGTGCCCAGAGACAAGGGCAGATCCTGGTCCCTGATCCTCCAGGTGGTACCTGGAGATTGAATCGATGGTTATCACGAGAACTTCCTCACTCACCTCAGCTGTTTTGAACTCTCCTAAGTCTGTCTCTATCTGGCACTCCTTCAAATATGACTCTGCCGCTAGAGAAATCTTCTAAAACCCCAGTCTGATTATCTTATTTCCCTGTTTAGAACCCTTCACTGACTCTCCACTGCCTCCCAGAAAAAGAGCCTTTGCCTTTTAGCAACTGATGTTTAGTGCCATCTACTGATGCTTCCCTGTTCTCACCTCCCCACATGCTTCCAGCTCTGGCTACACAGGACTCACTGTTCCCTTAAACGCCATGTGCTTTCACGTATCCGTGGACTTATTAAATACGAATCCTGCTGCCTAAAGTGCCCCCCAGCCCTCCTACTGCCTCACCAAACTCAGAAATATCTTTCAAGGCCCAGTCTAACTCTGTTGACAAACAACACCAACAATCCCAGGCAGTATTAGTTCTCTCTCTTCTATGCCTTTCTTTTCACCATTCATGCGGCATATGTAATATATTTTATTACTGTCTTCAGTGGATGTTATATCTTCTACGAAACTTCTCCATGACAGGAATCATATCTTAGGTTTTATTCATTCTCAGGGTCTAGTATGATGTCTGAAACATGAAAAATATCTAATAAATGTCACTCTGTTGAAGTACTCTGCTGGAAAAATACCAGAGACTCATAGAAGGTGACATGAAGAAGTATTTAGAAGGTCCAATGTCCTTATTGTAGAGATAAGAAAAGAGAACTCCAGAGAGACTATCCTCATTAATAGGTATCAGTAAGGGACCCACAATGTGATGCCATTCTCCCCTGTTCCTTTCACAAGAACTTCATAATAAAGGAAGGAAAGTTGTCCTCCTGAAGTTACTGGCATGAAATAAAGGAGCTATACTGTCTCTAAGCCCATCAACTTGAAAGAAATAGAAACTTAATCTGTGATCTTAACAGAATAACCCATTTGAATTTACTACCAACCTTCAACAGTAATAAATGGCTCATGGAAGCATATGAGAAAAAAAAAGGATATTTTCTCTCCTTAATATAAAGAGAAAAACACTGACAGATTTATTCCTTCAGTAATATTTACTTAGTAATGATTAAGGCAAGGCTTTGGGATAGTGCTTGAGGTTACACAAGAAATCTTGGGGTATGAAACTGCCCTTAAGAAACTTACAATTATAGATACCTCTGTCAATTTACCCATTCAGCAAACCTTAGGGGCATCCATTCTAAACCAAGTATTATACTAAGTATTGCCAATAGAAAGGTGCAATTATCTATTCTGGAGATACAAATATGTAAATAAAATTTTACAGTATGATATAAGCACAAAGAGGAATGGTTGCTCAATATCTAGTGTTTGATAAGCACTACGTTAGAAATGTAGGATTCAGTGCATCTCAAAGTGTAGTGTCTTATTTTAAATTCTCTACTTTAGAAATAAGCAAACTGAGCTCTGAGATAAAGTGATATCCCAAAGTCACAAAGCTAGTAAATGAGAGAGCTGGGATTTGAAACCAGGTTCTATGATCAGGCAAACTATGGGCCATGGGCCAAATTCAGCCCTCCACTTGTTTTTGTATGATCACTGAGGTAAGAATGTTTTTCACATTTTCAAGTGGCTGAAAAAAGTCAAAAGAAAAATATTTTGTGACGTGAAAATTAGGTGAAATTCAAGCTTCAGTGTCTGTAAACAAAGGTTTATTGGTATGCAGCCACTTCCACTCACTTACATATCCTCTGTGGCTGCTTTTGTGCTCTGAGGGCAGAATACAGTAGTGGTGACAGAGACTTTATGGCCCTCAAAGCCTAAAATATTTTCTGTCTGGACTTTGAAGATAAAGTTTGCCAACCACTGTACTGAAGCCAGACTGACTGAAGCCTTAGGATGTATAGAGGAGCTGACATCTGAGCTGGATTTGAAGTTTAGTAGTTTCTTTAAGAACAGAGAAAGCAGGAAGGGTATTCCGGGTAGGGGAAGATAGATGTAGGAAAGAATGACATATTCTGGAAAGGAAGAATAGTTCTACGTGCCTGAAGAATAGAATGTGTGGAGATACAAGGACATAAAATAAAGTGGAACCTACCTAAAATGAGGGAGGTTAGGGCTGAATAGTCAATGCCAGGCTAAAGAGTTTTGACTTTATCTGTAGGACAGGTGAGGGGGAGCCCCTGATATTTATTAAGCTGCAGAGAGTCACTCAGATTTGTGTGTCAGAAAGTATAATCGCGGTTACCTGTTCATTGTAAATTTCCAGCATGTTGAATGTAACCTGTATAAAAAAGGGCATAAAGTAAATTAAGATTCTCTTGAAACAGTCATCTTTGAAAAAAAAAAGTCCTATGGAAACAAGATAAATGTACAACAAAGGAAAAAGCGAAATATTAAATATAGTAAAGCTCTTTTTCACAAGCCATAGGAGATTCTCAAATAATTTTAATGATATGGAGGAAGTTCTTAATATAAATTAAAAACAGACACAGAATATTGCATGTGTGTATGCCTATGTGTGTGTGTTTCAGTCTCAACTGTGAAGAGAAAAATGTTGTTCTTTATTGCTCACTCTCTGATCTGAACATATGCAGAGAAGAAGATTGGTCTTTACCCTACTGTGCTTTTGGAATAATGCTAGCCAAGCTTACACCCCTTAAACAGGAGATTGGGGGAATCTGAACTACTCTAGTCTAGAGAAAAGGCTCTAAGATACTGACATTTTGCCACCACCATCCCTCACCCATGAAAAGCTGGCTTGTCTGTTAGTCACCCTGTGGTGAGTCCTGCCAGTCAAACCTTGCCTCCCCAGAGCTTCCAACTAGCTTCAGAGAGCATCACATTTTAAGATGAATAAATGGGAGGGGAGATCAAGATGGCAGCACAGGAGGACGCTTAGCTCACCTCCCCTCATTAACACATCAAAAATACGTGTACCCGTGGAGCAGTTCTCACTGAAAACTATTTGGAAACCAGCAGAAGGATGCTTACAAAACCAAGGCTATAAGAAAGATCCACACAGAATCGGGTCGGAAGGGAAGAGAAGCAATCAGGTCGGGACCTGTGCCCCTGGGAGGGACACAGAAGAGGAGACGTATTACACAGGCTTGGAGATCCTACTGGGGAGTGAGAGGTTTGAACACACAGTAGGCAGCCCAGCCCTGGGGTCTGACACTGGGAGGATGAGTTCCCCTAGCTGGTTTGAAAACCAGTGAGACTGACAGAGGGCTGTAAGAAACCTAGACTCCACTCATGAAGAGTGCACACACTTGCTTACTCCAGAAACAAGGCAGAGGAAGCAGATGAAAAATGCATGGGAGGGCTTCCCTGGTGGCGACTCCTACAGAACACCTACTGAACGCTGGCAGAAGACCTCAGACCTCCCAAAAGGCAAGAAACTCCCCACGTACCTGGGTAGGGAAAAAGAAAAAAGAATAAACAGAGACAAAAGGATAGGGACGGGATCTGCACCAGTGGGAGGGAGCCGTGAAGGAGGAAAGGTTTCCACACACTAGAAGCCACTTTGCGGGCGGAGACTGCGGGTGGCGGAGGAAGGGAGCTTCGGGGCTGCGGAGGAGAGCGCAGCCACGGGGGTGCGGAGGGCAAAGCGGAGAGATTCCCGCACAGAGGATCGGTGCCGACCGGCGCTCACCAGCCCGAGAGGCTTGTCTGCTCACACGCCGGGGCTGGTCGGAGCGCAGGTAGAGGACTGGGGTTGGCGGCGTGAACACAGCCTGAAGGGGCTAGTGCGCCACGGCTGGCCGGGAGGGTGTCCAGGGAAAAGTCTGGAGCTGCCGAAGAGGCAAGAGACTTCTTCCCTCTTTGTTTCCTGGTGCGTGAGGAGAGGGGATTAAGAGCGCTGCTTAAAGGAGC